GGGGAAAGGGGAGCCCCAAGGACCCTGGGGAAGCCACACAGCCCAAGGAAACAGGAGCCGGGAGCAGCGGGGCCAGACAGTATGGCAGACAAGGTGCCTCTTACAGGAGCAGCCCTCCCAAAGACCTCTGAAGGGAGGAAAATGAAAGCCTCATCCTAGAAAATACCTCCAAGTTTAGGGCCAACCTGTTTCATTTTACAAAGAAGGAAACTGACGTTCATGGGAAGGAAGTGCACCCAGGACCTCAAGAGGGAGCCCGCAAGGGCCCAGTGTGTGTGCACCACTCTCTGGCTCTTCCAGGGACAGGAGCCTTACCATAGTTCCAAAGGGACACCTGAGACCCCAGAAAGCCTAAACTCTCCTCGTCTCCCTGAGCGGATCTTTGCTTTCCTTTAAGCACTAGAAAACTACTATGAGGCAATCTGAAAGCACTAAATTAAATACCAACAAATAAAGCAGCTAATACCCAGAGAGTACAGATCCCCACCCCAGCCCCACCTCAGATGTGACATCACCATGATAACCTTTCAAGGGGTCCATGGCAAGGGAGACCCTGAGCAAAGAGGGCACAGTGGACATGTGATTCTGGGCACAGACTGCATCTAGACCTGAGTTCCAGTGCTACTTGGCTGCTGTGAGGTGAGCACTCCCCTGGCAGGTGAGCAACAGGTGGGGCCTGGGGAGGGTTAACTGTCCACAGCCAGGTGGGTAAATGCTGGCCTGGGAGGCACACAGGAGATGGGGCTGCTTGGGGCTCAGAAGGGGCAGGATGGATGTATACAAGGGCCCAAGGTGGCTTAGGGGAGTAGGACACCCTTACTTACAGGGAAGTCAGCAGCCAGGTCTGCTCCTGATTGGAGCACCCCTTGGGGACAAGCTGGCGCCAAACCCAGGCCCCCATCAGGTCTCAGCACTCCTGCCCACCCCCCCACTGGGAAAGGTGTTCTCAACCTTGACTTTGATCATGCTCTCCAGCACTTTGAAAAGGTAACCTGGCTACCTAGGGCAGGACCTCTTGGTGTCCTTGGCACTGCAGCCTGTCTTGAGGGAAGAGCCTCCTGGCCCCTCCTCACGGACACTAGACACCCTCCTCACAAACCCCACAAGCTAATGCCACATCCCACTTCTGCCCATGTGGAATCTGAGGCCACAAGCTAGCAGACCATTCCCAGAGTTGAAGAGAAAGCAGGGACCAGCCAGGAACAGCAGGCAGGACCCAGGGAGTCAGCTCTTGGCCAGACCCGCAGCTGCCTTGACAGGTCAGTACTGGGACCCATGCTGTCCCCAGGACAGCCACCCCCCACCCCCACCCTGGGAGCCTGTCCCACAGCACATATACTACTGCTTTCTGAGCAAATGTGCCAGCAGGTCCTGCATACAGTGCCTCACTCCATCAGAGTCTCCCCATTTTGAGAGCCTGTTAAGTGACTGTCCAAGACGCCAAATAAGCCACAATGTCTCTCAGGGCTCTGGCAACACGAACCACAGCACTACAGCCCACCTCCCAGCATCCCTCCTCCTAGAGGCCAGCACCGGCCCTTAGCTTGTCCCCAGCCTCAGCCACCAGCTGTCACATCTCTGAACCGAGACACAGATCTAAGAACAAATCTGTTCGCTCTCAGCCCAGCTTAAAATGGCTTTCCTGTCCCAAACCCCACTCAGCACGGCCCATAGCCCGGGCCTGTTGAGAGGTCCCTAACCAAGATTGACCCATCGATGGGGTTGTTAAAGTGCACTCTATCCGATATACGATGGATATTGCTCAGCATTGAAAAGGAATGGAGCATAGACACATGCTACAGCATGGATGAATCTAGAAAACACTGACAGTGACATAAGGAGTCAGACACAAAAGGCCTACATATCATATAACTCCGTATACATGAAATGTCCAGAATAGGCAACTCCACTGAGACTGAAAGCAGACAGTGACAGGGGAATGGAAAGTTCTTGTCTAACGGGTGTGGGGTTTTATTTCAGGGAGACAGAAATGTTTGTAACTGGATTGAGCTGGTGGCGGCACAGCCTAGTCAATGTATTAAATGCCAATAAATTATATCCTTAAAAAAGATTAATTTTATATTACGTGATTTTCACTTCAATAAAAAAAAAATCAAGTTGACACCTTTCACCTAGGACAGACCTGACTCCAGCCTACATTTCCTATCCCTCTGACTAAATCCTTCCAGAAGCTCCCATTGCCTTCTGGATCACATCTAGACTCTACATGGCAATCTGGCCTCTTTCAGTGGAGAAGACCACCTGGTGGTTGAGGACAGGACTCTGGGACTGTGAGGGAGCGCCCCCAGGGTCCACCTCTCCCACAGCTGCATACTTAGCTTCTGTCTGCCTACCTTCCCCGTCTACACAGGACGCCCTGACAGCAAAAGCCCAGCCTCATCTGCCATTCTATCACCGCACTTCACATGGCACCAGGGGTACCAAAGAGTAACGGCAGCAATGATAAGATCTGATGGAGTGCCAGGCACGTGTTAACTCACTGGGCTAGTGATAGGAAGTATTATTATCCAATTTTACAGAAGAGAAAACCAAAGCACACAAGGTGGGCTCGGCTGCTCAAGCTCCTCCACATGGCAAGCACCAAGGCTGACGTTAGGCCCTGGTCCTCAGGCTCTGTCTGTACCCACTGCTAATCACCTCGAGACCCCACCAGGGTTGCAGCAATAAGTGAGTCAGGGCAGTGGACTAAATATCAGATGCTGAAAAAAAATCCAGCTTGTGTAAAAACGGCTTTTGGACCTCCAGGTCAAAAAGATCAAGGACCTTATTACACAACAGGCATTGCAGTTCGGCCACCACTGGTCCCCGCACCTGGGCCAGGGACGGTGCTAAGAGTTGTACACGCAGCAGTTCTTGCTCTTGAACTCTCTGGGGTAGGGGGGACCAGGTGAAGACATTGGACGCAGAAAAGCTAATCAAGTCATCCAAAGCCAAATAGCTCCTGAGCATGTAAAATCCAGGTTGGCCTGACCCCAGAGCTCCCCAATCTCAGCCCTGGCAAGCCCAAGCTGCAGGGCAGGCAGCCGTGCTGAGTCCTCACCTGACTGCACCCCCCCACCCCACCCCACCCCAGGGCAGTGCGCAAATTCTGCTAAATGCCTGAGCAGTGATACAGTGTAGCTGAGATTAAATGGGTTCCAAATGCCGCAGGATCTCCACAGCAAATGTGGGATCATACAGGTTGACCGGGGTAAATTCTTGGATTTGAACAGGGAGGGTCAAAAGCAGGTGGGCCCTGCTTTGAAAACAGGGGTTGGGGGACCTCTCTCAGTGGACTCCACACAGCACTTAATTATTAACTAAGCAGGACCCACCTGCCAGGCAGTGAGCCAGGCAGTAGGCATCTGCAGTAACCACCCTGGGAGGGAAGGGGGGGGGTCCCAGACAGGTGGTCCTGCAGCAAGTGCTATGAGGCCAGAGGGTAAGGAGGCCTGGGCCCGTGGAGCTGGGGAAGGCCATTCCCAGCACCAGGACCACTAAAACAAAGGCATTTCCGTGGGCTCACAGCTTCAAATTGCAACAGGAAGCAATCAGGAAAAATAATTAGCCACCAACTTACTGGCTCCACTCCGGACTAACGCATGAATCTAACACAGAAATCGGGGACATAACATATCAAGAACAGTCAAAATAGTTGTGCAGAAAGAGCCCTCCTTCTCCTTCCATTTTAGGACTGGGTAGCCACTTTAGCCAGTGCTCTAAAACCCTTGTGTTGACATGCTTCCTAATGTTAAAATAATCAACTCTATTTTTGCCTCCTACAGGACTGCACTCCACAGATGTGATTCCTTCTCATTAGGGGCTTGAACCACAAAACGACAGGCGTTCGACTCCAGCAACGTCACCCCAAAAGGTACAGGAAATCCAAAACTGTAACGAAGTGAAAAGCAACACAGCCGGCTGAGAAACCCCACCTTTAAAACAAACATCTTCCAAAAAAAAAAAAAAAAAAACTTTTGCCTCCGTGATCCAGGCATTTCCGGAAAGAAAAGAAGCAGCGTTGGCCTGAACTACCCAGATACTGTCATTGTTTTGTCATCACCTTGTTTTGCTAGTATCAGACGTGGCCGAGAAATGTAAACACGCTCCTGAGGGAGATAAATTTGGGGTGAAACCGCCAACATTCTCTAGGCTTGGGCTGGGAGGCAAAAGGACCTGAGGAAACGCTCCCCTCGACGCCCCCCAAACCTCAATGAAGGGGCTGCAGCACTGGGAATGTGACCACAGAGCCTGGCCAGGACACCTCCCTGCAATGTCCCAACTGGAAATATTCAGGGAGACAGCTGTTTGCCTTAAAGAGGCCCAGACAAAGGGACCTGAGCCACCCACCACCACCACCGCCGCCACCGCCACCGCCACCCCCCCCCCCAAAAAAATCTGCTACCAGCAGCAGAACAGCAGCCCGGGGAGCCCAGGGCTCTGTGGCCCTGTCCAGTCTGGCCAGCCACACTCCAGAAAAACAAAACACTCACGTCCAAACAGAATGATTTAGGTAGCAAGAGATTTGCTTCAAAACCACATGGCAATCTCCAAATTAAAAGAACATGTGTAGCGTTTCACGAGGCGCTTAGGTTTCCTGAGTCCTCCTGACCTCAACTCCACCCCTCGGGACACACCAAAAGTCGGAGAGAAAGGTGCCCGGCCCCCGAGCTCCCCGAGCTCCCCGCGGCCGTGCCCCAGGGCCGTGCCCCAGCGCGGCACACGCGCGCGTCCGACCGCGCCGTCGGCCCTCGCGGCGGCCCCACGCGCCCGCCCCCCGCGGGGACAGCGGCCCGGCGCCACGGCGGGGGCCCGCGGACACCTGGCAGGTGTCGGGCCGCCAGGAGACGCGGCAGCGCCACGGGCCAGGCCGCCCGCCGCCGCGACTCAGAACTTCCCCGCAACTTAAATCAGTTCCCGGGGCTGGCAGGCCCGCCGCGCGGCCATCGGAAGCGGGCGCGCCGGAGTCCCCGACGCAGGGCGGCGAGGCCTGCCCCCGGGCCAGAGTCCGCGCTGCGCGCCCGCCGCCGCCCGGAGCCACACGGTGCCGCGCGGCCGCACTTCGGGGCGCGCCCCGGGCCGCGGGCAGGTGAGGACCCGCCCGCGCCGCACCTGGCGGGGTCGGCGCCACCCGCACGCCCTCCGCGCCGGCTCGGGACGCGGGACGGGGACGGGGACGCGGGACGGGGGACGGGGGACGGGGGACGGGGCCCGGCCTTCCCGGGAGGGGCCCGGGCGGGCGAGACAAAGGGCCGGCGCGCGGCCCCCGGGCGGGGGCGGGGGCGGGGGCGGGGGGGGGCGCGGGGGGGCACCCGCGGCGCGCCCCGACTCGCCCCCAACTTGCGAAGTCGCTTCCGCGCGCCGCGCACTTGGCCGCCGGGCCATTGTCCCCGCGGCCCGCGCCACCTACCCGCGGCCGGGGCCAGGCTGCAGCACAGCGCGAGCAGCAGCAGCCGCGGCGGCGCCGCCTCCATGTTGTCCGGGGCCGGGCGGGCCCGCGCGCGCTCACTCGGGCTCCATGGCGCGGCGGCGGCGGCGGCGCGGCGGCGGCGGCGGCCGGCGGCGGCGGCGGCGGCTCCTCGCGCGGCTCCCGGCGCCTGCCGCCTCCCCCCTCGGGCGCCGGGGACCAGGACGGCGGGGGAGGAGGGACGAGGCGCGGGAGCGGAAGCCGCGCCGCGTCTCCGCCCCCCGCGCCGCCGCGCCCTCCCGCGGGCGCCCCCCGGAGCCGGCCCGCGGCGCTCCCCGCGCCCCCGCCCCCCCGCGGCGCTCCCCGGGGGCGCGGGGCGGGCGCCGGCCTGACAGCCCGCGGGGGCTCCGGGCCCGAGCGGGCCCCGGAAGCAGGTGTGTCACCTGTGGAGCAGCGCCGGAGCCGGCCGTCACCGACGGGGAAACTGAGGCACGGGGGGCGGGGCGTGGGAGGGGCACGCGACCGGGCAACTCTGGCGTCGGCAGCCGGTGCGCCCTCCCGCGACCGCAGCCGCTCTGGCAGGGTCCAGTGCTGGGGCGGCCCCAAGACACCTGTTCTCCCCGGTGAGGGCGCGCCCGAGGGCAGAGGAGGGCGACCACGATGTCAGCTGGAGGCAGCCACAGAAGCAGACGATGGGCAAAGGCAGGAGCTGCGGGGGCTGACAGTGGGGTGGGCTTGAGGCTATTTTCTTAGACTAAAGGTGATACCCTACATACTGGTTATAGCGCATGAACACTGAGCAGTAGACGCACTGTTCTTCCAGGTGCGCTTCCAGGCCGGCTGGCGGGAAAGCCCCTCTAGGATGGCAGACCTCACCCTTGGTCCCTAAAGCAGGCACGGAAGGGAGCCCGCCGCCCCCACCCCATCCTTCAGGTTCTGTGCCCAACTGAGCTGGTGGCTCAGCTCTGAACCCTCAGGGCACAGGAGGGCCTGGGAGGTGACAATGCACTGGCTCTTGAACTGGGGGCCCAAGCTCAAAACTCCAGCTCTGCTGCTTCCTAGAAGTAGGTGTGCCCTTGGGCAGGTCTAAATATAAACCTCTCCGGTAGTCTTTCCTCCCTTATAAGACAGGTAGGGCAATGCCTACCTCGCAGGCAGGTGCCAAGCTAGCTGTAACTCACACGAGCAGCCACATATGCCAGGATACCCACATTCTTCATAAATTTGTGACAGCTTGACCAAGCTACTGGTCAGGCAGGAGTCTCTGTCCTCCCGGTGCTTATGTTCTAGAGAAGGAGACAAAAACACAAGAGACAGGCAGATTTAAAAGAGAAAACGAAAAACACTGTTAACAGACAACAAGGGATGCCATGAAAAATGGATGGTGTTGAGCTGCAGTGTCTCAGGACATTGTGACTTTAGGGAGGTGAGGACTTTCTGGCTACAAATCAGGAACAGGCGCATGGTAGGGAGGGCAGTTCAGGTGGAGACAGCATTAAGGGTGAAGGCCCTGGGCAGAGGCCCTCCAGGATGCTGGGCTCGTGGGAGGAAGCCCGGAGGCCAAGGTATGCAGAGGCTGGGGTAGTGGGGGAGAGGGGCAGAGCTGCAGAGGGAGAAGCTAGCTGGGGCCACACATACAGACCCGGAAAAGGCGTCAAGAATTTATCCCAAAAGCAACAGGAAACCATCACGTGGTTTAAGTAGCAAGAGACCCTTGCTGTTTCCTCACGCAGGCCCCAGGCCCAGCTCCAGGAGCACATCCTGCTGCCTCTCCTGGGGCCAGATGCAGACTCCCAGTTCTTGTGGCCCCTCCACTACCAACACCTCCCAAACTACGTGGGTCTCCCACTTCCTGCCGTGACCCCCTTCAGCCACATTTCGCAGCATCCAGAATGAGCCTCTTGAAACAAGACAGATCCCATTCCCTCATCTGCTCAAGAATCTGCTATGACTCCCATCTCAGAAGAGAAGCAGAAGGCCTTAGGGCACCTAAAGGCCTGACCTGGCCACATCTCTCTTGTTTTTCTCTCCAACTTCTTAATGCACTGTCCTTTCTCTTCCTCACCCTGCCCCAGCCACAGAGTTCTCCTGGCTGGTCCTCAAACACACCAGGCACACTCCTGCCCCAGGGCCTTTGCGCTTGCTCTTCTCTCTGTTAGAACTCTTTTCCCCAGTTATCCATGTGATTTATTCCCTCACGTCTTCAGCTCCTCAGCCAGGCCTTCTCTGACGTCCTTTGAAAATAGTAAACTACACCCTCTCCATCACTCACCCCTACAAATACATCCTGCTCCATTTCTTTGTTTTACTTTTCTTCTTTGCTCTGACCAATATCTGACACACTGTCTACTTAACTTTTCTGCCCTCTGCTAGAATGGAAGCTCCAGAGGACAAAGATTTTCATTTGTTTTGTTCCCTGTGTATCCTCCCGAGTCTAGACTAGGGCCCAGGACACAGTAGGTGCTCAATAAAAGTTTGTTGAATGACAGAATGAAGCAAAGAGCTGATTTATGTTCATAAAAGGAGCATTCTGGCTGCTGAGTAGGGACAGGAGGACCAGAGAGAAGGGAGGATGTGGGAGACTGGTCTGCATATGGGTCCCATGGCAGCAACCAGAAGAGCTAGTGGCTTGGGCTGATGGGGTTGGGGAGCAAGAGGCTCACAAATGGCTAGAAGGAACCAGATACAGCATGCTTTGGGAAGATCTAATGGGACTTGCGGAGGGCACGGGGGAAGAGGGCCCAGGGGGGCCAGCTGTAGGGGCTTTGCTAAGGGGACATGTACAATAGCAGCTGGTCCAAAGTTCAAATCATGGTTCTAGATCTGAGAAGGAACATAGAGTGGCTGAAGACCCTATGCCCAGTTATACAGATGATTAAAAGGAAAATGAACCAAGAATAAAAGGACAGACAGACAGAGATTCTTTGTCCTCAAGGAGGGAGATGGGAAGCTTGACTCTTTTAGTGGGAGAATTCAGTCAACACGGAAGACACCATGGAGGTCAGGTGATGGCGGGCTGGCAGCAGCTCCAAGCATGCCCCACAGTTTCCTGTGAGGACTCTTGAGATGCCAGTGGTGGAGAAGCCACCAGAGACTCTCCCTCCCAAGAAAGGAAGGACTGAGCCCCAGGTCTCAAGGCATCAGAGCAAGATCTGAGCTTGCTTGACTCCTATCAGAACTTTGAGAAAAGTCGTTTACAGAGAACAGATGAGAACTAATCACGATTAGATCCTACAGGATTCCGACATCACAAGGGCAGTCATTTTTAGACTCCTCACTCACATAAGAAGCAACCGGAGAATGTGCTAAGCTCCCACTTCCCCAGAAGACTGCCTGTCACAGCTCATCACACCACCGACCTTTTCTTAGGCCTCACATTTGGAAGCGTTCACTCTCAATTCATCGCTCAGATGCAAGTTCCATCCCAGTGAGGTAACGGGGCTCGGCACCTGTCGGATCTAATCGTTTCCGGGGACAGGGGCTCAAATGGGGTCCCTGTAGGGCCCATCAGGGGATGGCATCTCAGCCCTGTGACACTTGGGGGAAGGTGTCTTTTTGGTTGCCCTCCCAAGCTAGGACATGCTGACTCTGTAGAGAGTTATTCTGGGCATAAGAGCCCTCCTGCCTGTCCGGCCTAGCCACTGTGATCAGAGGTGTGCACTGGCTACCCAGTGTCCCCAGGCTCTCTGGGCCACAAGCATCGTCCGGAGGGCTGCTCAGTAGAGGCGTGCAATGGGAATGTCACCGAGCTCGCCGGACCTCTCCCCTGCGCCACCTCCCAGCAACCTGCACCAGGGCCAGGCGAGGGCAGACGGCCACTGCTGCGAGGGGATGGGCAGTGGAAGGCTTGGATGGTAGCGGGCATGGTCACTGTGGAAGCTGCTGGGCTGTGAGGGACATGGGCCGGACTTTACTTCTCTGAGCCTGGGTGTCCTCAATCGTTAATATGACAATGGTGGTATCTGATCAACTTCTTACCTGTCGGTGCTGATGTGACCCTCCAGTAAGAGGAGACTCAGAAATGTGCTCTTTAGATATTAAAGTCCTGCCTGGATGTGAATTGTGATTAATATGGGCCCAGGACGGGGCAGGAGGATGGATGTGCCGGCACCCACTCAGTGTCACCTCCCCACCTCCCCTGCTGACCGTTGTCACCAACACTGACTTTCTGTAGCCTGAGTTCCAGCCCTGCTGATGGTTCAGCAGCTGTGTAAGTTGTATCCTTGGGGACCGTGTTCTTCATTGAGCCACACAGGTGTCTGATCCACCTTATTTTCTTTTTTTGCTGCAGATGAAGAAGCTGATGTTCCGGTTTCATTTTCCTTTTAAGGCACTTTAAAGACACCTGTAGTGGGTCAAATGGTGGCCCCCCAAAAGACATACCCATGTCCTAATCCCAAGAACCTGGGAATGTTAACTTACTTGGACCAAAGGTCTTTGCAGGTATCGGTAAGTTAAGGGTCAGGGGTGCCTGAGTGGCTCAGTGGTTGAGTGTCTGCCTTTGGCTCAGGCCGTGATCCCTGGGTCCTGGGATTGAGTCCTGCATCGGGCTCCCCAAGGGGAGCTTGCTTCTCCCTCTGCCTGTGTCTCTGCCCCTCTCTGTGTGTATCTCATAAATAAATAAATACAATCATTTTTTTTAAAGTTAAGGATCATAAGATGAGGAGATCATCCCGAATTATCTGGGTGGACCCCAAGTCCAGTGACAGTTGTCTTTATCCCGGAAAGACAGAGGGTGATTTGAGACAGAAGAGGAGGAGAAAAAAGGAGAAGCCCATGTGAAGACAGAGGCAGAGACAGGGCCATGAGCCAAGAAGTGCCCGGAGCCTCCAGAAGGTGGAAGAGGCACGAAGGATCCTGCCCCAGAGCCTCGGAAGGGAGTGCAGCCTTGCTGACATCTGCATCATGGACTCTGGCCTGCAGGCTACAAGAGAATACATTTCTGCTGTTTTAGGACGTCCAGTCTGTGGTTTGTTACAGCAGCCGCAGGCAATGAATATAGCCCCTAATTTTTTCCACCCCAGGGAAGGAACCTGAGGTCAGAGAGGTTTATCCGGGGTGCCATCCCCCAACTGTCTTTATACAATCAGGGCAAGGTCGAGGAGTGGCAACAGAGATGGTGTGCCTGCAAAGCCTAAAATGTTTGCTCTCTGGTCCTTTCCAGACACATTTTCCACCCGTGCTTTGGGGAGTCATATGGTAATGCCTGTCCTGGAAAAAATAAAGCAGGGGAAGATGGTCAAGGGGTACCAAGTTCCTAGGGTCGCCTCACTAGGAAGGCAACAGCCATGCAGGCACCTGGAAAAAGGGGAGGGAGGGAGCCTGCTGTCAGCAGGGAAGGCCAATGCAAAGGCCCAGAGGCACAGTGAGGGGCCAGTAGAGCGGAGGATAGAGAGCCAAGGTCAGAGAGGAGTGGGCCAGCTCTGCGGGGTCTGGAGGCCATCTCCTGTCTGAGTGAGACAGAGGCCAGGAGCAGAGGGAGCAGAGGATCTGATTTCCATGCTATGGAATCTCTCTGCTACTATGTGGGAAACAGACTGCAGGGGCAGGAGAACCAAACAGAGGCCAGTGGAGAGGCCATTGCAGGAGCCCAAGTTCAAAATGGTGGGAACGAGGCCGGCAGCGGTGAGAAGTGGTCGAGTTCTGGATCTCTCTGAGAGGAGAGAGGACACAGAGAGCATCGTCAAGGCTGAGAGGAGTCAAGGATGCTGTCAAAGCTTTTGGCCTGAGCACCTAGAGGCACGGCTACCATTCGCTGAGATTGTAAGGGTTGCTGAGTGAAAGGCAGGAGCCCCCCGGGTTCAGGGTGTGGTGTCCTGCCTTGAACTTGCCTAGCTACTAGACTTCCCAGGGGAGGGGTAGAACAGGCAGGGTCTGGGGTTCAGGGAGGAGGGTTGGGCTGGGCATAGAAAGGTGGGAATCTTCAGTGTGGAGGCCACAATCCTAGGGAAGCATCCAAGCAGAAAGGGGTTCAAGGCTACAGGTTGGGGTCTCCAAGCTTATAGGTGAGGGGACCAGAAGCCGGGGGGAAAAAAGTGAGTGGAGGGCCAGGGCCGAGTGTGGCTGCTGCCCAGACGGGTGGCCTGGGGATGGAGACTTGTCCCTACTCAGCAGATGGCTGGTTGCTGTGACCTTGAGAAGCCGTTCGGGAAGACGTGGCTCACATGCACCTGGCTCTGCCCTGGGACCAGGCACACAATGTACAGTCCATTGAACACCTAGAGGATTCCACTGATGGAGGCAGAAATCATTTGGGGCCATGCACCTGGGGGGAAACTGAGGCAGCTGCCACATCTCTCTGGTCCCTCTCAGGTGCAGTGAGGTCCTGGGGTCACTTCTGGGCCTCAAAACAGCACTGGTTAGCAGCTGCAATTCCAGTTCTGGTTTAATGACCCAATCCAAAGTTTATTCAGTCACTGCTTCTCCCTTCTTCCAGCTGGACTGGGCTGGGGGCAGGGGAGCCGCAGCAGGAGGGAGCTAGCTGGCCTCTGCTCTCCTGGAGCAGGGGGAGGAAAGGACATGGTGGCGGGAGAAGGCTGGGATGTGGGGGAGGAGGGACGGGCAGGCCTCCCTGTGACCAGACAGGGGGCCTGGAGGTTTGGGGATTCCAAATGTCAATTCTTTCCCTATCGAGCTCTTGGTGGGCATGCTGGCTATTTCTTAGATGCCATCTGACACTTGGACACGTGACTTTGCTTAGTTCCGTGGCCACCCAGGCAGCTATAGCAATGACCTTGCCCTTTATCAGGCATGGAGGAAGCACCAGACTCATGTGTTGGCCCCTCCAGCCAGACCCAGCTCCAGGGACATTCGTCCCCCTGGTTCCTCAGAGCCCCTTTTGTCAGGTCCTGATATGAAAGGGACCCACCCCAGAGCCTCTCTTTCTTCTCACTGTGTCTTCTCCTCTTTCATGCTCTCATGGTGGGCAGTGGGCTAATTAGGTGACCAGCCATCCCTGTTTGCCTGGCACTGGGTGTTCCCAGAACTCCGGACTTTCAGAGCTTAACCTGAGAAGGTCCCAGGCAAACAGGAATGAGTTGGTTGCCGTAGGGCTGGTAAAACCAAACTCCCCTCTGGCAGGCCCTGACCCCAAGCACTTTGCAGACCCAGGGCAAAAATATAAAGCAGGCCCTGCACTGTGCCTGCCACCTAAAAGTTGAAAAATCCCTCCTGAGCTCATCAATGTCATTTTTTGTTTAAGTAGAGGGATTTTCCTGAATACAAAGAGATGAAAGAGATATCCTGGCTGATGGTATCCTGTTTAAAAATAATTTTGATGACATTAAGAATTATGAACATTTATTTTATTTATTTATTTTTTAGAATTATGAGCATTTAAAAAAAGATTTTATGTATTTATTTGAGAGAGAGAGAGAGAGCATGAGCATGAACAGGGGGAGGGGCAGAGAGAGAGGGAGAAGCTGACTCCCCACTGAGCAGGGAGCCTGACTTGGGGCTGATCCTAGGACCCCAGGATCATGACCTGAGCTGAAGACAAGTGGATTGAGCCACCCAGGTGCCTCACGAGCATCATTTTTTTTTTTAGATGGGACAAACTATATGTAAGAGAATTCTCCTAGGAGATATCTTCCAAACTATTCAGTGGAGAAACACCGTATTGTCTGCAACTGTCCTCAATATTTATATTTTTGGCAAATGTGGAAAAACCTTAGCAAATTTAGAACCTAGGTAATAAAATTATGGGTGACCACTGAAAAAAAAAGTAATGAATTAGGTGCACAGACTATGGAACACGAGTGTTCTGTCCTCCTGGCTGGACAAACACACCTTCCTAACATCAGAAAGGCAGTGCCACATAGAACTTTTTGATTTCTTGGAGTTCTGCGTTGGAGCCTGGTAGCAAGAGTCAGGGGAGCTCACCTGACCTCTGCCACAGGAGACATCAGCAGGTGGGGGGATGGGCCTGGCCCCTGTGCTCTGTGCTGTCCCAGCAGGGATTCGGAGTCCAAGGTGGGGTGGGGGGCAGGGAACGTGTCTGCTGTGGGGGATGGGCAGGCTGGTGGGGGTGCAGTGGGGCTCCCCTAAAGCTTGGAGCCCCAGGCAGATGGCATTGTTTTGTTTGAAGCCTTCGATATCAGGCAAAACTGGGGTGGAAAGTCCCACGTGAACTCACCCCTCAGGAGAGACACCACCTCTCGGCACGGGTGTGGCTCCTGCCCAAAGTCACACAGCTGGAAAATGGCCAGGCTAAAATTTGAACCCAGGTCTCCCGGCTCTGCCGAGGCCCTCCTCCTGCCAGGCTGACCCCCTTCCTTGCACTGACCACTTCTCCTTCCCTGGGAACCCACCTCCTGCCAGGACCACTCCGGGCACCCCCCTCCTCCAGCTCTACCTGTTCAGCTTGCAAACCGAAGCATGAGTCTGCCCTCGTAAAAAAGCACAACCCAACCTCCCCATTCCCCTTCATTCTTTCCTCTCTGCTCCCCCCACAGCCCCCCCACCCCCGCCAAGCCTCTCCAACCCACCATCTACACTCACTGCCTCCTGTCCTCAGCCCCTGCTCATTCAATCCTGCCCCTGCCGAGATCTTCCCATTGCCAGCCCTAAAGGCCTTTCCTGCTGTATCTTGCTTCTGGATTCTGCAGCTTTCTCCACCCCAGGCCTCCTTCCTGTGCTTCCTTGAGTCCAACCCCCCTTCAGTGGTTCCCCTCTCCTGGGCCTAGCCTCTCCTGCCCACACACTGCCCTGCTCCAGGCATGGCCCGCCACTGTGCCACTTTTCTCCATCTCCAGGGCCAGCTTCAGGCCCCCCGGGCTCTCCCCCATGGCAGTCTGGCCATCGGCATAACCAGCCCGACGGTCCTGAAATGCCCATCTGACCATGGTCCTCCCTACACACAAATCCTCTATGGCTCCCCAGTGCCCGAGGGCTCCTGCTTCTGCCAGCTTCCAGGTTTGGAGCGTCCTCTCCTGCTGGCATCCATCCCCGGCCAGGCACAGATGCTCCAGACTGGTCACAATCCTCCCAGAGCCCTGGGTCTCTGGGCCTAGCTGCTGCCCTTCTGCAGACATGACATCAAGGTCACCTTTCACTGGGTGAAGCCTACAGGCTCAGATGGAGACAGAGGAAGGAGCAAAGAGAAAGTAAATACTGCAGAGACTCCGTGTGGGGGAGGCACATGCCAGCCATGGGCGAGGGTGAACCAGGTGAACTATGCCCTCACCGAGGGTCAGCTTGGACGGGCAGCCATGGAGGGGCTGGTTGTCTCTGGAAGGAGACAGGGTGCATGCATGAAATGGGGCCAAGAGCAGCTGGTTTCTGGGGTGCGGAGAGGAAGGGGATCTGTGGGTAGGCAGGCTGTAGGGCCAAGGACCCAGACAGGGGATCCCCCTAATGAGGGCTCTGCATTGTTGGAATATTGTGCACTGTGCCCTCAGGGATGCTTCGCTGTGGGGTGGGTCTCAACCCCTCCCTTCCTGCAGGACACACTCCTTCCCAGTAGAATCCTGGGATGTGGGCACTCCAGTAGCTGTGATGGGAAAGGAAGTCATGGAAGGCACACAGGACAGGAGGCTTTGCCTGAACAAGGTGGAGAAGGGTGCAGATCTCAGGGCTGTTTGTGGCTGAAGGCACGCTCAGGGGTCTTGTGTCCCTACAAGTCCCATGAAGTCCCCTCCCTCCCCCTGCAGAGGTCTTCAAAGCTGCAGCAGCACCCCTGGGCTCTGGTGGGTGTGGCCTCAGCCCTTATCAGGTACTGCAGGCAAGGGGAGAGCCTAAGGCTTGGGGTGTCTCCTGCCAGTGTTCCCTCCCAGGCTAGGATCACACATTCCTCCTGCTTTTCCAGAATTCTCCGACCAGAGATCACAGTGGGCAGAGGACAAGGGCACCCAACGCCTTCGATCTGCAGCCGGCTGAGCCCCTTGCCTCCTAACAGCCCTTCAAAGGCCTCATTTATGTCCATTTTACAGAGGGTGAAACTGAGGCCAGGGGCAAATGGGAGACATGACTGAGGTTCATCAGTGTGCAAAGGATGGAGCTGCAGACTCCGTGATTCCTTCTCTACACAAAGCTCTGTGTCCCTTCTGGGGAGAAGAAGCTGAGGTCCCGGAGGGTTGACTCAGGCATCTCCACGCTCTGGGCGCTCCGGGTCCTCGGGCTTGCGG